TTTTTTTTATTTCGACTGACCTTCGTTCAAACAAGTCATAACAAAAGAAAGAAACAGTGGACATTTAAAATACAGTCGTACATATCCAGCTACGGTATTCGTGATCGCTATACAATGACAGTTTATACACTTACTATTTACAAGACATTCACTTGCTTCGCTGAAATATTTCGCGCGATCCTTCATCGCCTCCGTTCACCGGTCCTCCAGCAGCGTTTCATCGCGATATATATAATATATATATATATATATATATATATATATATATATATACGGTACACGCATCGATCGTTACGGTTATTGTTATCAATTATCGTTATCGTTATCAGCTATCATCGTTATTATCGTTACATCGTTAAAAACGGTTACGCACGGCCGCGGCGCGTGAAATTAAAACGCGACGCGATGCAGGCGAAATACCGCGATGATCCACGCGTCACCACCATCGCGCTTTTCTGATTGTCTATAGTATGTGTTTACGTACGAGTGTACACCTAATTCCTCCCCTGAACCTACCCCCCTCGTCCTTCTCTCTAGCGTTTTCCCTCGTTTTCCTCGACACTGTCTTCGAACTTTGGAAACTGCGAGATTCCAAACTTCTCCCGAGGGAAGAAATTTCCCTGGGAGAAGTGGTCGAATTTTTACTTAAAATTTTCACGCGTTGAGCGAAGCGGAATCAGCGAACAACCACGCTGTTTGAGTATATTTGAGAAAATTTCCACGACGCGTCAGATTTCGTAGTTACATTACCGATCGGAAAGTTTTCAGGACCACCTCGCGTTCATTTAGAGTTTCCCGCGAATATTTTTGCCTTCGGATTGATTATGCAACAGGACATTTTCAGGCTGTGCAAAAGAAGACGGAGAAACTTTCGTAAACTTTGGAAATTGGCTGGCCGAGATTTTGTGGCCTGATTTCTCAGTTGTGAAAAAAGCTGTCCTGATAAGAGTCCGGAAATCTCACGGAAACGCGTAATGGAAATTTTACAATACTCTTTGCCCATTTGAAGATTGAAAGAACGCCTGTGAAAGTAGCGTAAAATTTCTACTGATGATTCTGGAGCGCGCGTAACAAAATTGTTTGCGTGTTCACTCGTTTCTTAAATTTCTCTCTCCAATTATTGCTCATGGACATTAATATGTAAGAAATTTCTTGAAATATGTATATTAATGTATGTTGTATATTAATATGTAATATATAATATTATATATTATATTCTCATATATTACATAATATATATTATTATACTACATGTTAATATATAAGAAATTTCTTAAATAAAAAATATATATTAATGAATATTATATATTAATATGTAATATATAATATCATAATTATTTTCTCACATATTACATAATATATATTATTACACTAAATATTAACATATAAGAAATTTCTTAAATAAAAAATATATATATTTACTAATGTACATTATATATTAATATGTAATATATAATACCATATATTACATTCCCTTATATATTAATGTACATTATATACTAATATGTAATATATAATATGATACATTATATTCTCACATATTACATAATATATATTATTATACTACATATATAAGAAATTTTTTAAATAAAAAAAATATATACTAAAAATAAAAAAATGTATACCACATATTAATATATAAGAAATTTCTTAAATGAAAATAATATATATATATCAATGTGCATTATATATTAATATGTAATATATAATATCATATTACATAATATATATTATTATACTATATGTTAATATATAAGAAATTTCTTAAATAAAATATATATATATTAATGTATATTATGTATTAATATGTAATGTACAATATTATATATTATATTCTCACATATTACATAATATATATTATTATACTACATATTAATATGCAAGAAATTTCTTAAATAAAAAAAATAATATATTAATGTATATTATATATTGATATATAATGTATAACATCATATATTACATTCTCACATATTACATAATATATATCATTATATTACATATTAATATATAATTAATACAAAATATACATTATCATATTTTCTAAATATTGCAAGAAATTTCTTAAACAAAGTCATTTTCCTTCCAAACGAACACTGTGTGGCCTCAAACTTTCGATGAACAGCGTAACAACTACATTCGAAGCTCGCAGTTTCCACAGTCTGACGCGCGCATACACATTAGTTACGTCACACGTCGAGAAGGATAATCTTGACGATGGTACACGAACAATTGCGCCATGCGAAGAAACGAGCTTCGCATCGAACGAACCTGGTTCGAGAATACGTTGCACGTGTGAGTTCTCGTTACGTTGCAAGTTTTTTCCTCGTCGGTGAAAAGATGAAAAGGCACAACAGCGGTGCTTGTCCTCCTTTCGGCTGCCTTTCAGTATTAATTCTCCTCGTTGGTGTATGCGCATCAAGTGGACACTGTCCAATTAACTGTAATTAACAATCAGTTTTGCAGCGCTCGAATGAGAGTACGCGTGGCGTCAATTTTTTTTTTTTTTTCTTCTGCGGCAAGGAAGATTCTAATCGGCAAGGAAGTGAAAATCCAATTAAAAGTAATCCTTCTCTGGCTTTGGTATAAAGGGAGGGGGGAGGGGGGGGGGGAAGAAGAATAATTGGAAGCTTCTAGGATAATACAGAGAGCTTGGGAATTAGCTTTGTTGCATCTAGACTGCGGACTGTACGTTGTTTATGAATTTCATTTATCACTGTGCAAGACGAAACGCTATTTCCCTTTTTCAACGCTTTATTTGCACGAACGTCTGCAGTCTGGCCACTTTGTTTTTTCAAGTGTATCATTGAAAAGTTTCAACCTTGATCAAAGGATGGCATCTCTCGGTGAGATGAGATAAGATAGTCGCTCGGTCGATTTGTCACGCGACCGCGTTATTACTTGCCGCGGCAACGACGGCGCGAACTCGTTAAAAAACATAATTCAAACGACGTAATTCTCCCGCTACCCGACGTTCCCGCCATACCCGTTGAACTTTGATTCCGCGTAAATTTAATGGTGATGAAACTTTATTCTTCTCGACGCGTGACTCCCTCCAAACACCCTCTCTCTCTCTCTCTCTCTCTCTCTCTCTCTCTCTCTCTCACAACGCTCCCTCTGCGTTACGAAACTTTCAACCGCCATCTCGTAACCTTCGTCCCTCGTATAACGTATTTATTGCGACACATTTAATATACCTACGCTAGAAAGTATGTTTTGTCCTTGGAGATCTGCTCGACTGTCGCAAAGAATAAAAAAAAAAAAAAAAAAAAAAAAAAAAAAAAAAAGAAAAAAAAAAAAGAAAAAGGAAAAGGAGCGAAACAGAAAAAAGAGAACGAAGAAAAGGAAAGACAGACAAAGAACAAAGGGACGACAGTCTGTCTCCCCCCGGATTTCTTTTCGCGACGCATCGTATTCGCGAAACTTTTGTGTACATTCGTGCTCGCGAAACATGTTACTTCACTTCGTTTCGTTTTGTTCCTCTTTCTCTCTCTCTCTCTCTCTCTCTCTCGCTCTCTTTTTCTCTTTACTCGTTTTACGATCTTCCGCGCTCTTAGCATTATACGAACGATTATGAACGACTACCTCGCGACGACTTCGAGACAGTTTGCTTTCTTTATTTATCACACACACACATACGCACGTACATACACGCGTTCACAGACACACACACACACACACACACACAATTATCGTTTATTATTGCTTGCTCGTCGTTCTGAATCGCCACTAGTTTCAACGTGAACGAGAAAATGGCTGCCGCGGTGGACTCGGATGACGAAGCTGCGGCGGAAGCTGCCAACTCGCCGTTTTTCCGGTTTCATTTATTTATCTCAGCGATCCGGTAGCTCTAACTCTATCGACGATGCGCCGAAAATTTTACGAACTCGACTCGAGCTACTTCTTACCGATACTTCGTTCTTTGCTTCTACAGACTTATTGTCAGAGCAGAAATCAGAAATCGAAGATTCAGTCTGCAAATTCCCCCTTCCTTCCTCTCGCGTTCGCGTGGAATTCCATTATCGAGATGTTAACACTGGAGAGATCCTCGCGGAATCCTTCGTTCCCTAATTGAATTTCACACCGTTCGCCAAGTACACGCGAGCAAGCACGCGGCAAAGATAAGAAAATTTCCTGCCGTTTGTTCGCTTCGTCTCGCGAGCTGAGTAGAATCCCGTGTTTCGTAAAGGTACGATCGAGGTAGGGAACAGTGAGAAAAGAATTGGAAGGAATCTTTCGACTATCGAACGAAACATCGTGTTTGCTCGTTGCGCGTTCAAATCGTTTCGAGCCACCAAATTTTGATTACCCTCGCGATTAATAATCGAACGATTAATGATTAATTGATGAGTAATTATTTTCCTTCCGACGTCTTACAATTTTTGTAACTATCATATCTTTATAATTATCAGGAAAAGTGTCCAGAGTTTAAAATAGAGAACCAAGCAATAAATTTAATTTTCAGACATTATTTTTGACAAACAATAATTTTAACGATGTCGAAACTAATTTAAAATAGAAGATTCTGTTTCGAATATTTTTAGCATTATTGTTCATGTACTAATAAAAGCGAGTAACATTAAACAATATTAAATCATAGTAATATAAAATTATAAGTAATTTACTTGTAATTTTAATGCGCAACGTTAAATAATAGTAATATTAAAATTACAAATAATTTACCTTTAATTTAATTATGAGTAATTTAATTTCAATATTACTATTGAAACTACTATTGTATTAAAATTACAAGTAATTTACTTATAATTTTGAAGAGTAATATCAAATAATAATAATTTATTATATAAATATTACTATTGAAACTACTTTATTAAAATTATAAGTAATTTAATTTCAATATCACTATTGAAACTACTACTTTATTAAAATTACAAGTAATTTACTGATAATTTTAACGAGCAATAACAAATAACAATAATTTATTATATAAACATTACTATTGAAAAACTACTACTTTATTAAAATTATAAGTAATTTACTGATAATTTTGGCGAGTAATATCAAATAACAATAATTTATTATATAAATTATATAACACCGTGCAATAACGCTAAATAAGCAATATCCATCTTGACGTTATTTTGATTGAACAGACTTTTGAATAAACGCGGTATACATGTCACCAAGATGTCGATACGTGACTTTGTAAGAAATTTTGTAAGAAAAAAAAATTCTTCGTTTCACAATTCCAAATTGAAAATTCCAAATAGCTTGAAGAACATACGGACGAAAAGTAATTAACTCAGTTCGCTAGAAGTTGGCGCACGCTTACGGGAAAAGAATTCATTCGTTCGGTGGATTCAACAAAAATTTCTCCTCGCGTCGTTCTTTTTTCTCAAACGGATTTCAACGCCGGGGCAAATGGCCGTCTGTTTCCACTTTCCAGCTCGAAAGTTCAGTCAACAAGAACAATTTAGCTCCACTTCCGCCGCAACGTCGGATTGTTTCGATCAACGTGCTCTCACCTGTCCGGAGAAACTCGGAAAGAGAGGAGACTCGGATTCGACGAACGTGGCAGCACACCTAGACTGAACCACACTCTCGTCGATTCGCCCGATCGGGACGCGAGATCGAGATTGCCTCGCTTAGGCGCAATCCGCCAGTCCAAAGAGTTCGAAAGCGCGCTTGCTTCTCCCTTTTTTTCCCTTGTCGAAGCGAAAGAGAAACGAAGATAAATCTCTCTAGGAATCCTTTTAGGAATTTTTGTGAGATATTTCTCGCAATTTTCAAGAGATACTTCTCACTTTAGAAGATATACTTTTGAATTTCGCCCGCACCAGTCCTCTCGTCGACGCTCCCGATTAACACGCTTACGGTCACCCGCGCACGTTTACGCCAATTCGTGTACTTACTGGCGCGACTGAAACAACCGGGACCCAAAGGGAAGCTGAAATAAATCTTTGCGGCCTGTTTGGGGATTTTCGGATGATTTTTCTCTCTCGGATAATCAGAAAATACAGTGGAATTTACGTGAACTTGTGAAACTCGAGGAAACTTCCTTTAATTTGTTCAATTCTCTTTTCTTTTCTTCTTTCTCGTTAATTTTGAGATTTTAAATATTATGGCAGGAGCTTGCGAAAAGGAAATTCATTGAATTTTAATTCGGGCAGTGCGTAACTAGATTTTGAATACATCGCAAATTTCTTCCAAACGCATAAACATGCGCAGTCTGATTATCCATGTTGGGCAGCCTGTCGCGCTTATCGATCCCATTTAATCCCACCTACGTCACGATCGTCAGAGAAAAATCGCGTTCGACTCGCGCCAAGAACGATTCTTTTCCTCTTGATTTACCTTTCTAGAGACATTTTCGATTAATTTTCCAATTAACCAGTCAGAGACAGTTAATTTCTTAAGTTTAACCCCTTTGCGCTGGCAACTGATTGCGGACCATAACGAGCGACCGAACCGTACACGACAACACGTCGCTTTTCTTTTTGAACTCGTCGGTATTATATAACTAAATAGAAATTATTGAAAAATAACGAATTTGTTATTTATTTTGCTTACTTAATTACTTATATATACTTGAAACTGAGAAAATGTTGCAATTTTGAGGCAAAAAAATTCTCGACGTGCGTGGCGCGTCATTCCAGCAAAAAGATTAACCTCTTTGCGCTGGCAATTAATTGCGGACCATAACGAGTGACCAAATTGTATACAATAATTCGTCGCTTTCTTTTCCCTTTGAACTCGTCTGTATATTACTGGATAGAAATTATTGAGAAGTAATAGATTTATCATTTGTTTCGCCTCGGTTATACTTAAATATATACTTAAAACTGAGAAAACATTGCAATTTTTGGGACGAAAAAGTTCTTTCTCGACGTGCGCAGCAACGACCTGCGCTGGCAACTGATTGCGGACCATAACGAGTGACCGAACCATATACGACAACTCGTCGTTTTCTCTCACTTTTTAACTAGCCGGTATAACATCACTGGACAGAAATTATTAAGAAGTAACAAACTCATCATTTGTTTCGCCTGGATTACTTAGAACTGAGAAAATGTTGCAATTTAGGGCAAAAGATATTCCTGCGCAAGAGGAATTAAATTCCAGAACAACCACTTTGAAATAGTCTTTCACGCAAAGAATCATAAACTACACGTTTGGTTTCGATTTCTTCGTTATGTATAAATATATTTGCGAATAAAGATTTTGTCTTTGATTTGAAAATTCACGCGCTACGAATGACACGAGTTTCGTGCCTCCGCAGAAATTAGAATCGAGGAGCAATCGATTGAAACGAACGACTCGAGGCGAACAACTAAACTAAGCCTGAGACGATCTTCTCTTTTCGAGCTGTAGCAATAAACTAATTGAGGCTAATCGATTTTATGATTTTGATTGCGGCGGTCGCAAGCTTTCACCTGCTTTCGTGTATATTTCGTTTCAAATGTCAGCGCGGCTGTGTTTTTTCATTCAATCGCTGTGTTTTTCTCAATTCTTCACAATAGCCGAATCGATGATTAAACGCAATTTTCCACGGAATCGAGACTGTTACTAATATTTCGTGCTAAATAGTGGACATTATTCGACGTTCGTTTCCTTTGAATTTATCTCGGCAGGTGATTCTCTCATTTTCAGTTGGCAACGTGTCGCGTTCACGAAAAACGAAGAGGAACGTGAAACACGACCACGATCGAAGTTTAGATTCGAGTTCTGTCTCTAGCAAACTAATACGAAAAAAAAGAGGAAAGAAAAGTGAACGCGAAACACGGTGAAAAGACTCCCGGGGCACGTTTCTCCTATCTCTGATCATGCTGAAAAGCACGATCTGAACCGCGAGGCGAGATTTCATTTGTAACTGATATGTCGGGACACAAGCGTTCGTCAACATTCGTCACAAAAATGCAACACGATCTTGCAAGGTTATCAAGCGAGAAGTACTCGTTCAAACGTGACGAAACGTACGTTTAATAAACAAAGCGAACTCACCTACTTTCGTCAATTATTTCGTCTTGATTCTTCTTCTCGGTCGTTTAAACGGAACGATAGAAAAAAAAAAAAAAAAAGAAAGAAAGGAAAACGATCATCGAAAGATCGTTTCGAGAGAAAAAGAAAGA